TGCGTAGAATTTTCAAGCTATTTTATTTTAAAATTCATTGCTTAATAACACAATTGGGCTGCTCGATAATTATAAAATATTGCATCGTACCATCTTGTCCAAAAAACTCCATGACCATCCGAGATATCATCTATTATCCACGATGCAGCGTGGCACATTTCATGAATCAAAGTATCCCTTAGTCTATCTGGCGTATCCACAATCTACAAAAATAATTTCAGCTATGATTGGTTATATATTTATACATGTATAATAATAAGAAAAAGAAATAAAGACTTTACGTACTTTTGTTGCTAACACAATTCTCGAAGATTTAATGATACTCGTAAGACTTTTTACAAATTTTTTGTTGTAACAATATCCAGCAGTCCCTCTCATACGAACGTTCCATTCAATAGGTGTATCTCGAGGTAACTTATTGTCAAATACTTTCTCGTTGTACAGTTCGTATAATTTTTTACACAATTCCTCCTTATTATTTTTATAATCCAATCTATATTTCTTTGCGTTTGGATGAGCCTGACTCATTGGAACTGTATTTGACAAAGATGCCAGAAAGGTTTTGCATTCCATAGACTTAGTCGTAGTTGATTCAAATTTAGGTGCTTTGGATAATATTGGTCTTTTAGTAACTTCTGAAAATTAAACATTATATTATTGAATGCTCCATTAGTAATATTCCAATTTATTTTTATTTAAACAAACTTTATCATGCGTTCCTTACCTTTATTACGGACGTATTTTGGTGGTACATAATCTCCAGGTTCAAATTCGCTCGTGCTAGAACTTTCGTCGTCGCTAAATGATAATTTTCGTCCTTGCAAATTCTTAGGCTCACTGCTAGATTGATCATCTTCATCATCAGAATCCGTATCACACAGTGTCTGAAGACTATATGAAACATTTAATTAAATTCAGTACTCCATTGAAATAAATAACAATTTTATAGTACCGTTTAATTGATGCTGGCACTGGCACGGATTTGGTTGAATGACTTGTAACAGTTGTAGCATTTGTTAATGCAGTGTGATATACACTTTCACTATCACTTCCTGATAATGATTTATCGTCGATAAAACTATCTATTTTCTTTTGTTTTCCTTGGATGTTTCTTCTTTGATTTGGTCTAATATTGTTTCCAACTAAAACAAAATTCGTGCTTTTAAAGGAAATTGTATTAACACAAATCAAACTTCAATAAAATATGAGAAAATTCTTTACCTTGGTCAGACTTATTTGACTCCAAATCTACCGCACGATATTGATTCGTTGATACAGGTTTCCTGTAATAAAATATAATTTATTAGACATGTTTTTATTAAAATATAAAATAATACAACAAAAATATATATAAATTACCGTTCCGTTTGGACCGTTCTATTCACTGTTTGAGCAGACGTCTTCCGTGGTTCAGTTGTTGGAAATAACACGTTAGCTTTATCTCTCCATGCTGTACCATACAGTTTATCCAAAATACCCGCGCAGTCCACTTCATCCTTAGTTTTAAATGCATTTGTTTGTACTTTTGGTAAAAGCTTCGGTTTATTATCTGGCGTACAGAATTTAGAATTATTCTTGGATTTTTTAAAATATTCATCCAGCGTAGTTCGACCCGTGAAGAATGAATTAACGGTTCTGTCAGAGTTTACAATTGTCTTTCGCTTCTCGTAAGTTCGTATTTTGTTGATTCTCTCTCTGTTATTCGGAGTCTCATAGTTCTGTTCCAATCTTTCCAGGCTGCTGTTACCAGAATTACTGTTTCTATTACTTGGGGGTACAGTATTCAAAGAGCTATCGCTCTGAGAATCAGATGCATCTGTCTTCAGAAGCCATTCCAAGACCTGCTCCTTTCTCTTTTCAGACAAAGGCCTGTAAGAATCCGTTACCCTCGATACGTCCGTGTGCGGCTTGGGCGATTCAAACAAATCCACTTGTAAATTATCTTTCTTAAGACTGCTGTCGATAACGTCAGGGCTATCGCTGGGAGGCTGTATTTTTCTATTATAACTGGGTGATATAGCTGGATGCATTATATCTTCATCTATATCTGTGCTCTCATTAATGACTACCTTATCTTCTTTCTTCTCTCTGGGAGAATCATATACAACTTGCGTATACTTAATATTCTTCAAAATTTTGTGAGTGTCTTTCTTTGTAAGTCTAACTTTTCCTGTACCATCTTGCTTCGGAGTATTGAAAGTTGGATGTTTATTGAGAACATTAGGACTGTCACTGTAGTACGTGGCACCACTTGATTTAATTATTCCATTTGTCTGTTCTGTATTGTATTTTTCTCTTAGTTTCAAATTTTTCTCTTGCTCTGTAATCAACATAGGACTTCTATCATTAATGTATCTTTTAGATTTATCTACCTGATCTCTGTAATATTTTATTATATTGCTGTTGATAGCAGTTTTGTCATTGGTCGAGGCACTGTCAGAAGTTAATAAGGTATCGTTAGAAGTTAACGACGCCTCAGTAGGTGTCTCATTAAGCACAACAGTTCTATTTATAGGTTTCTTCTTTGAAAATTTATTGTCAGATCGCTTCCACGATGAATCAGACTCCCTTTCCTTTTCGCTCTCCGAAGAAGAAGAAATCTCCAAGAAATGTAGCTTCTGGTATTCCTTATTTCTAACATTAAGAACATTAGACGTTGAATCGTATCTGCATCTCGGCATACGCATTTTGGCAGTGGGCACAGGGGATGAGCTGCAACTGGAATCACTAATCACAATAATGTCGTCTTCCGTCGTCCCGTTTGTGACAAAACGTTGCGGTGAAGAGTCTTCGATACTGGAACCCGCGGAGAATCGCAAATTAAAGTTTTGCGAATCGCACACCGAGTCCGTCGCGTACCAATTAGACGTCATTGTCACAATCTCTTTTAATTTTCTTATTTCACTCTAACGTCTCTTTTGCTACCTCGCCACGAATGCGGTCCGATTTGGAGGTCTCAAAATTTTCCACGGCTATGGATCTTTAGTAAACAAACGCACAGAGGGAAGAAGGGAAATAAACACGATTATCGAGCACATGGAAGGAAGGATTAAAGGAAAGGTCAATGGGATTTGAGTTGCACATTCACATTTATTATATCGCTCGTGCACGTTCTATGGCACTCCGGTAAAATATTCTCTCGATTTCTGTCGAATAAATGCAACATTATTGTGGAATAGTGACCATAATCACGTTCACGCACGTTCGTGAAATAAACACGTTCAACTTTCAAACCGCCAGCAGTCCGTTAAACGGTAAACCGGAGTTTAAACTATTGCTGCCAACTGTATATAAACAGAATCGGTAATCTCTAGGAGGTGTTTTCTGTTGCTGGAGCCCAATTCTGTACACGCTTACCGACAGTCGTCGATGTCGTTAACGGTGTCGGCGCAGCTTTTATACAAATAATTTTTTATATTTTACGAGTAAAACGGATGTAAAATATATTACTATAAAAAATATGTAGTAATCATATATAGTATATTGTAATATTAATAGATAATTATATATTAAATTATTTATTAAACATTTATACCATATGATAAAATATTATAAAATATTTATAACATGTAACGTATTTTACATTGACATGTATCTGCATCATACGTGATTCATGAATGAAATCAGCTGATTCTTCAAGTTTCTCTGATTGGTTGAAACGTCATATATGTTCGATCCATATGCGAGCGTTCGTTTAGGGCTCATCAGACACAATGAGATAAAAATAAAGAATAAGATAAAGGAATAAGCTAAGGAATAAGGGAATGTCGCATGTCGCATCTCACTTCAGTACACGTACATTAAAGTGAGATGCAACATGCCTTCTTCCGTATTCATTTATCTTATTCCTTATTTTTCTCATTGTGTCTAAGCCTTTAAAAAAAATGTTTGAAAATTACTCCGCCATGTTGTATATGCGGCGACTAGCATAAACAGAGAGAAGCCTCTGTGATGTCTGCAATTAGTGACGATAATTACAGTAATGTAGGCAATTAACGATGTGCGATAAAATTGCCAGCGACTTTAGCAATAACATTAGGAAACTTTCTAACCTTCGGCAAGTATCTGACAAACTGTGCAAGCTTGAACTCTCAAAAATTGAAGTATTAGGACTCAGACACAATGAGAAAGATAATAAAGGGTTACGTGTACTGAAGTGAGATGCGACATTCCCTTATTCCTTATTTTTCTCATTGTGTCTGAGCCCTTACAAGAATATAATTAGATAAGGGCTCATATATTAATTGAAATTCCAAAGAATTCTAATCAAATCTCCTAAAATCACGAACCGTGAGACAACCCAAAATAGTTTATCGATTGATATCATTGCTTTTACCATAAGAAGCTAACGGAGCCACTTTAGATTAAATTCGTTGCGCTAGAGGGTGCTACTGTACTGCTTTCTGTGTTTTCTGGCTTTCTCTCACGGACTTGACTTTCTCTCCTTGCGCACTGGTATTTTCTTTTATTAATTTTATTATTATTATTAATATTATTATACTTTAATACAAATATTTATTTAACCCTCTATAACTCAATTTTTCATGTCTAAAAACACTTGTATAACAAAACTAGCAAACTTTAACCTTAAATTTGGATAAAACTAACAATTAATTTATTACACTTTTTAAACTTTTTATTATTAAAAAAACTTGTGGTTTGTAACTTGGAAGTCACAAAGTTATGGTAAGAAAATGAAATAAGACTTACAAATGTGTAACTTCAAAGTTACATGGCGTTATATACTACGTTTACGCAAGCGTTACTTTTTGTAGTAACTTACGATAATTCACATGTTTACGTGGAGTAAATTATCGTAAGTTACTACAAAATCCCGTTTACGCGAAAGAAAATCCTGTTTACGCGAAGGAATTATCGTAAGTTACTGCAGAAGTAACGCTCGCGTAAACGTAGTAATAGGACTAGTTTATGAAACTGCATGGGCCATAGAGCGTCAAATTTATTTTCATATATTTTTATGTTTAAGAATGCCATTTTGAATAAAATTATTTATGAAGGGTGCTTTTTTCCACGTATTAGCATTAGTACTGGCGTAATTGTGTATAAATCTTCCAAAATGACCTGCTTCTACTACTAGCTATAGTGCTATATTCTATAATTTTACTGTAAAATATTTTATTAAAAAAAAGAAACTATTTTTTCCCACAGCGATGACTGATCCGTACAGTAATTTGAGCTCAGCAAATTCATGGATAGGGTTGCCACTTAAACTATCATTTTGACCCAGAAGACAAAAAAACAAGTTAATATGTATCAAGTGTTTTATTAAAAATTGTCAAAAGAAAGTCAAAAATATTAGAAGATAAGAAATGACTAAATAATCAGGAAATAAAATAAAATTTTAACAATTAATACACCAAAAATATATAAATTATACAAATAATGATTAAACGATAATCATTAAATTAAACGCTTCTAATTGTTATATTTTTCTGAATCAAGAATCTAAAAGAATACTTTAGTCACAAACAACAGTCGCTAAGCGATTGTGAGCTACTTTCTCTACTGAACGCAACCATTAAATTGTAAGGTACACGTCGAGTTTGGAACGGAATTTATCCCAATTTCATCCTCTTCAGTTTTTTTCCAACGCCATTTACTCAGGAAATTGGCCAAATTTATTTTTAATTTTTTATTAAAAATTAGATGAGGTGGTTTATATTTCACGAAATCCGGAGAAATAATGACCAAACCTGGAACCCAGATATAAGCCATCAAAACCTAGAATTTCTGGGTCAAAACCCGGAGAGGTGGCAACCCTTCCCATGGATCCGAGCACAATATACTACCTACAGACTCATGACATTTACACCTACGTACGCACGATAATGCAATAAACATTCAGGAAAAATTAGAGCAAAATGCAAATAAGAACAATAAGAACAATAGAAATGATAAAAATATATGTATCAGATATGAATATAAGAATAGCTACAACTAAAGCTCATTTTTCATCTGTATTTTTTAATTAAAAAATGAGGATATTTATGTTTTGACGTAATATTTCAAAGACATCTCATTTCTCATTTCTCAGAATATCATATAATTTCTTCCGCTTCAAAGAGAGTTGCTTTTTACAGAAATATTAATTCGAGAAGTAACTTCAACTTTCCGTCATAAATAAATAAATATCCTTTAATTCGTTAATATATTATGCTGTATAATTTACTACACTATATATCATATATTTTTAAAAATATATGAAATTTCTTTCGTTGTATTTACGAATTATATGTTTTATAGATACTTGGAACTGCCATCCCTGCAGCCGATGCAAACTCGCATGATAGTTGTGCTCGGCGAACGTCATTTGTAGAAGCCCATTCAGAACTTTTCTGACCCGATACAGATACCAATGCGCCAGCGATAATTCTAATTCGGAAGCCGCCCGAAATACCCGTCAAACGAGAACGAAACTCAATCAGGATCCCATCTATCGTATTATTCGCACAAAGCAGACCTCAGATTGGATTATCTATTCGCGTTTCCCGCCACACATTATGTACTCTCGCAGTATAATGCTCATGATGTGCGCGTGTAACCGCAACAGGAGATTATAGCGTATCCACGATTAAGCGTATGACCCTGATCCCGCGATATTTTGCGCCGTGCATCCTTGTAACGCGCCGCGCTGAAAATTATCTAGACCACCGAACCACGAAGATTGAATTTCGGCCGGCCCGCGGTAGAAAGAAAATCTGGAATGTCCTATAATTCGAGTAGATTATATTCGCGCCGCGGCCTCGTAAATCAATTTCCAAAAAAGAATTTTAAATCTACGGCGCTTCACCGAAGCGTTTTTTCGCAAAAAACGCGACGGTTTGTACGCGAATCGCGTACATACCACGAGCTTAAAGCGTAATGAACCGCGCGTTGCAACATTGCAACTCTGATATTCGTTAGCCGCCGCTAAGGGCGTTTTCATCAAAGAGCGTGAAAAGGGTAAATCGACGGGCGGTGGTTATCCAATTTCGACGGTCGTATTTCAATGAATAGCCGCGACAGAATGCACCGATCGAGCTCCATTTTAACCGAGTCGCGTCCGTTCTATGCTTAAATTCGAAATTGATCGCATCGCGCCGCGGCACGCGGCAGCATTTGTCGGTTATTAAGCGTAGGTTAATCCTTTTAGCGCGATATTAAATATAAAAGCCCTGGGAATTACGACAATTAAGTTTAGCTGGGATTGTGTTAATGAAATCCGAGGCAGCTTGCGCGAACCATACGGAATGAGAGAATGCGCGTCACGCGGTGTGTCGCGCAAGAATGTAGCAGGATATATCGGCGTTGCATTGAAAGGCAACACGGAGCTTTTCTACTGATTTATGACCTCCTTCAGTTCTCTTCTTGCTTGTCTATAAAACTTATAACACAAAGCTCGGCATAATGGAGATAACGAGCCGATGATTACGCGGAGGATATCTGAGAAGTGATTTCTCAGAAAAGGAAACGCAAGTAAAAAGTTTGGAGTGCATTTTCTCTATGCGTACTTTTCGGAGAAAATGTTCGACGCGAAAATAGAGTGCGCATTTCCTTGATTAGACATTGCTCGCTAATCAGAGGATATTGATTTTCCAATAATTAACTGCAAGTTTTTAATAACGGTATCAATGCGCTTTGTGATAATTATCTCAAAATTATTTTATTAATCAACAGTAATTCAAAATCATTCTTCTTGAAAACTATGTGACTATATAATTAAAAAATATATTCTTTCCTTTATTGCGGGAGATTGTCTCTGTATTGTGGCTTGCCGAGTTGCACTTTTTTTTTAGAGAGAATTATTTAGATAAGGCTAATCAGCAGAGTGCCGTTAGCGGCAGGAGATTTGCAAGAACCGCATGGCGCGACGAGCGCGAATTAGCTGATCGTTAGAACGCCGTGATTTTTCGCGATGAATCCGTGAAGGAAGCGCGCCTCCTTTGTGCGAGCCCGGCGAGGAAGGTCGCCCGGCCATTGTTGAAGAGCTGGTCGAGAGCTGAGCCATTCTTGACATTAAACGTGATTTAACGCGGGCGCGGGGTTTCGCGAAAGAAACGGAACGTGGAACGTGCGCGGTGCCGATATAGCCGCGACGCCGTTGATAAAAGCGGCCCGCGTGTCAGAAAACAATGCCAATACGGATAATGACGGCCGCCCACGTGAGCATTGCGGTAAATATGGACAGGACGCGGCGATGGAAACAAAGAAATATTCTCCACAAAAGCCTTTAAAGACACTTGGAAGATTACGGCAACTCGGCCGAAAGTACATAGATCCGCCGTACTAAATCTCCGTTTATCGCGCAAATAATAATTTACATGACGTCCCGTGGACCGCCGCGAACTCCAGTTCCGCCATCAGTTTCACTTCTCAATCCGTTCCATTAACGTTTTCTTGCAGCCGACCTTGAGTTAACTGTTCGGTTCACCCGGTATAGCTGGACGCTAACGAAGGTAATATCCTCGAGTCTGCCTAAGGAAGTTGATTTCTGTAGAAGTGCGTTAATGACGGTTCGATAACGCTCGATTTCGGCCGGTCGCCATTACTTGCCCGAAATTCTTCATCCCCCGAATTCACCGGTGATGTTCGGCTTACAGGGGATCATCGTGCTTAAAAGAGAATGTTGACAAATCGCGCCGAGCGTTTTTGAGGCAAATGGGATAAAGGACTTTAACAGGGAGAGAGCGCGCAGGGCGGATCAATTCGAGAAAAAGGCACAGGTACATACATGTATTCAACTGTCCCTTTTTCCGGAATAGCAGAACTAACAATCGATCGGTGATGTACCGGGAACGCCAATTCTAGACGTGTTTGGCAAAATGATCCCGTCCACGTATACCTCTACACGTATTCGCTCGCGAATAAAAATTCTTCCGGCTGATGGATTATTTCTATATGCATAAAGTACATATTGCCCACGTAACAGCTCCGCGAAGTCTTTCAATTTGAATCTCGATTTCACGATTCCTCGTGCTTCGCATCTTTTGCGTATAAACGAAAAACCGCGGACTCCGTTCGGTCGAATTTAATCAATAATTGCACGTACCAATACATCGTCGTAACCGTCGAGTTTATTATCCGTTTGAAAATCAAATGCGGGATCACGTGGCAATACAAATAAATCAAATTCGTTCTAATGCTCTTCGTTTTCCCACAGGAATACCACCGGCGATACACTATCTGAACGATGCCGTTTTTCTGTATCATGTCAGATTCATGAGGGTATCAATTCCCCGATAACATCTACAAAAACATCGACCCGGCCAACCTGTAACTCGTGTAAACCCATCGGATATCTCGAACTAGAGGGGGAGACGGAGAGAAAAAAATAGAGAGGGAGTGAAAATAGGGAACGTCGGAGTGGCTGGCGTCGCATCAGGCGCGAAAATCTGCGAGGTTTACCAGCAACTAGTGGCGTCGAAACTCCGAACCTCCGAACCACCGAGAGAGCCCCTACGACCCTCCTGCGCCCCTTCGTCATCGAACAGAGACGGAGATAAAGATATAGAAAGGTAGATGGAGAAAGAGAGATGGAGAAAGGGGGAGAGAGATAGAAGATCTCGTTCCTCCATTTTCCACGAGAGAATCCTCCCTCTCGCGTCTCGCTACCGCCACCCTCTCTCTCTCCATCGCTCCCTCTTCCTCCCCCTTCCATATCTCGCACGCCGCGTTCCTCTCGCGCGCTCGCGCGTTCTTCGGCCTCTGGAGCGAGTCGCAGCATCCGTTGGACCGTTCCGGACTTCAGTCCACGTCGAGAACGCGCCACTGTCGGGACATCTAGGAGTGACAAACACCCGAAAGCTCGCGGCCAACGTCGCGTGCACGGCACTATCGTCATTCTGTGTCGAAGTCCATCAGCAATTCATGGTCCAAAAATATGACACCGTGATTTCTCCGACAACGAATATCCGAGGATAAAGAAAAAAAACGGGAGAAAATTGTTCGTAAAAGTTTCATCATTGCGCATCACGCGTATCAGCGTGCCGAATTTTACAATTATCCGAGAGCGACGCGCAATTTCTTTGGCGTGCCGGTGCCGGTTAATCCGCCATTAGTACAAATAACCGATTAACGCTGATACCAGCCTCGCTTTGTTTGGTACCGCGAGAATACACGCAGGTGCGTCATCCAGAGAGGTCGGTAAAGTTTCCGCTGGACACAAAGGTCGGTGGATTAGCCGGCTTAAAACTCAGCGAGTTTCTGGAAACGGTGTTCTCCATCCAAGAACGAGACGGGACGAAGCCGCTGGATGCCCTAAGGGGAATCGCCCCCGGGCCAGCCGGTCGCCGGTTCTGATGCCGACACGTGCCAAGCGCGATCGTTGAGGGTGCGGCGGTGCACAGGAGAAGAGCAGAGCCACGAGGGCCCGCGGGAAGAGCTGAAGAAGAGGGATCTCGGGCCGGGCGACTGCCGGGAGTTGTTGCCCAGTCCCGGCGAGGGGGCGGACATCGGGCCCGGATGCTCGCGAGGACAAGACGCCGAAGGCGCTGCCACGTTGGAAGGGAAAATATTGACGGCCGTCAACAAGTTCCTTACAACGTCCCCTTTGGTTAACAAGGTCAAGTTGCTGATGGTGAGTTTTGCTCTCTCATTCCTCTCTCTGTGTCTGTCTCTGTCTCTTTCTCTCCCTCTCTTCGTCCCTCTCTCCCTCTTTCTCTCATCGACACATACCGAGAATGTCCGTGCGGCCACTGACTCGGCCCCCGTTCAGTTTCCCGCTTTCTCGACGTAGGAGGACATATGCAGTGCTTCGACTTTGCTTTGAATGCAGTTAGTTCGCAGTTGTCGCACGGCACTCGTCGCGATTGTAGGCCTTCCGCCTCCGGGAAGTTTCAGGGTAACGATGTTCGCCGTTACTGCGAGGAAGGTACAAGATATCGACATGATTCCTATTTCTGATTGACGCGCAAAATTGATTTTGAAGTTAAGTTTCATCCATGTCAGTTTCATCCGCGAGGGAACGTGAGCTAAATTTCTAATACAATTAAGAAGTAGAATACCCCTTGAATCGCGACTGGACGACGCTTGGATATCCTCCCGAGTTTTGGTTCTCGTGTGTGTGTGTGTGTGTGTGTGTGTGTGTGTGTGTGTGTGTGTGTG